TCGAGCCTTTGTTCAGTCTTTGTTCAGAACCAGGCGCCGCCCCGCACTCGCCTTGCTGTAGCTGTGCGGGTTCTTCTTTCGTCTGCTGATTTTGCGCCTTTCTCTCTCTTTCCGCCTTTTTGTTTTCCCTTTTTTCGTTGTTTTCCTTTATTTTCTTCCTTTGGCTCTTCCGTTGCTATTCCCTTTCCTCCCTCCTCTTTCGCTGTTCTTCGCATTTGTTTTTCTCTCTTTTCGAAGCTCTCAGCTTCTTTCCTTTGCTCTTTCTTTGCTATTCGCTCACACACTGTCTCCAGGGTTTGCTCTGTCTCTTGTATCCGTTGCAGTTTGGGCTTTGCCTCTACACATCGTCACAGGTGTTGTTGCAGGTCAGCGAATATGCATTTATGGCTTAAAGTGCTGCTTCTAAAGTTTGCAAGAGGAGCAATATAAAGCAAAGGGTTAAGGATTTTTTGGATTGGCCTTTTGAACACAGACTTAGGGATTAGAAGCAAGTATTTGCCTTTTGCTTCTTTTTCAGTGCTGCTGATGGTTTTTTCTCTCCTCAACGCGGACGCGGCTACGCAAATGCCTCAGAGGAGACTGTTTGTTCGCCTTTGCTTCTGGTGTGTTTGCTGCTACTGCTGCTGCTGCTGCTGCTGCTACTGCTCCTGGCGTGACTCTTGGTGCTGTAGCGGCACCCATGCCTCGCTGTGCTTTTTTCCCTGTTTTTCCGCTGCTGCTACTGCTGCTCCTTTATTGGCAGCCACTGTTGGAGAAGCTGCTGCTGCTGCTCCTGCTGCTGCCACCGCGGCACTTGGTTGGTTTGTTGCGAACTGTCTGTTTCAGGGGAACAAGCTACGTTTTGGCGCCTCTTTTTCTTATTTGCTTTCTCAGAAATTTCCCGTGAGCGTTTTTCACAGAGAAAGCAGAACTAAGGAAAATGCACAGATAGAAAAAGGGCAGGCGAGCAGTTACTTCAGATACGTCCATAGAGCCAGAGCCGAAAGGTGCAATGAGTGAACATGAATGATTAGCTGGGTGTCCTTTTTATTGCATTGCTAGCACTTTCTCGCTGCTTTTGCTGCTTTTTCTGTAGCTTGATGCAGGCTTACGTTCTTATCACAGTTGAGTTCGTTTGCCTTTTCAGTGAGTCAAAAAGCAAATTCAGAATCGTAACAACTGCAGCTGCGCAGCAAATTTCGACCTTTACGAAGAGAATTTTATGTGCTGCTCAACACAATGTTTCATTTGCGTTAGTTCTTAATTATTTTTGTCTAGGCTTTGGATACTAGACCTTAAGGCCGACTCTCTATGCTTTTGCCGCTGAGACATTTGCGCTGTATTATGCGTCGCAGCTCTACAGCGTATTGCCTGTCGCGGACTTCAGCAAAAAGGCACACAAATGGGACAAATCAAATCTCCTCTTCCAGCAGCAGACCTTCCCTACACAGATATTTGATGCGTACGTGGACCTCAAGTAGTTGCACTGTATGCTCATCTCACATTGGTGAGGTGTACGTACACTCCAAATGTCTGAGTTGCGAGCTCTCTCCAGTCAGCTAAAGACTATGTTTGCCGCAAATGTCAGGTTTACGCATAACTCAAGCAGGTGAGGTGCGTTCGTTCTCGAATTAGCCGAGATACATGAAATCTTTAGAAGTCAGAGGTGTACGTACACAGATGCCTTCGTGCGGCGAAACCAAGTGAAAGAAGCTGAGCAAAGCTTTCAGCAGCAAAATCTACCTCTGCTGCTGCAGCGCCTGCGGCTGAAAGTGCTGCTGGTGCTGATGCGCCTACAACTGCTGTGACTCGAACGCCTATTATTGCAACTGTTACTACAGAGCCGGCGCGGGGATCTCCCGTAGCCTGCTTTCCGTTACGACTTTGAGGCTCCGTTTTTGGGCGTGAGGCCCCAAGCAATACTCGTAGTGTGTTCGTCTTCCTTCTATCGCCGCTGCGCAGCCAGGCGGTGGGAAAAATCTAGGAAAGCTAGTTGCTTAGGAACATGAAGGCGGCTACGGAGTGCAGAGCAGTGCCGAGCTAGCTGCTGAGACCCCCAAAAGCTGCACTGAGTGTGCCGAGGGTGGCAGAGCCAGCAAATGGCTGCAGAGGTGCGAGGCCTAGGCGTGGCAGCCGCGGTCTTCTGGGATCTCTAGGCAAAAGTTTGGGGCGTTTTTCAATGCTGGTGCATTGGGCGGCTAGGATTACCTTATTAGTCTGGCTGCTGTTGAAAAGCCAGAACCCCGGGGTTAATTAGCTTCGAAGAGTGACGTACGGATGGCGCAGTGACAGGGCTAACCATGTGTTGGGATCGTGAACGTTTTGGGGCAGTTTTTAGTGGAGCTCAAATCTCCAGTGATATGTTTCGGGACCAGAGTGACTCATTCATAAAGTAGCTACATGGCGTTCCCACTCTGACAGAACAGCTAATACAAGTTAAAACGGTAGGGTATTCCTACAAGTTAAAACGGTAGGGTATTCCCACTGTGAGAAGCTGAAAGCGGCAGATGTAGTGGTCCATCTGTAAAGCGCGTTTAAGCTCGGCTTAATTCCCCCTCAGAGCAGGTCTACAACAAATTGGCGATCAGAAATAACGGTGATGCTCTTAGGCACACTTTGTAAGCAGCAAAAGTCGCATGCTAAGCAGACGCGGAATTGAAAATGGAGAAAGCGCAGCAGGGCTGCTCGAGCTGGGATAGACTTTGTGGTCCGTTTCATGGGTTTAGACTCGTGTTGATCCCATCCAAATTGAACACGGGATGTGCTCTACAATTCTGTAAAAGGCGACGGGGACCCTCCTATATGCGTTCCTGACGGCTAAGAAAACAGCCCAGTGTACAGAACTCGCCGTCCAAAAGATAAGTGTTAAAGAAGGGGGGTCTGGTGTGCACGTTGCTTGAAATGGTGAAGTACTGTTACTGTATGCCCACGGCGAAGGATCTCGCCGCTGTTCCTCGTACCCCCGTTGATATGAAAAAATGTGCTATTTCGTTCTACGCACTGAGCAGAAGCTCACAATCTTTTCATCCTGGATCCTAAACGGCCTTCACTCGAATAACCCACAATTTCAGAGGCTGCAAAACCTTTTGCGCTATACAATAATGCCTTCGGCAATGCTATCAGTGCTGTGTGTGGGCAGCAGCAAATGGCAGTCGGTTTCCTCAGTCAGATAATTAGCATCACGCATCCAAGATTTTCGATCAATGGCTAGGAGAGACTAGCCATAGTCACAGCTCGAGGCAGGTGAAGCCGTTTCATATGCGCTGCTTTGGTTAAGGCACAAGCAACCAACCGTCCAGAACTCTTTCGGCGCAGCTTAATGTCTAAGTGACCAGATAGCTCGATGGCTTGACTTCCTGGCAAACTTTGATAGCGTTGTGTTCAGGTGCCGTCAAAATGCGTGGGGTCATCCAGCACGCGCACCGGCAAGCCACATCTGAAATCCTGCACCCGCAAATTCGGGAGGAGAGCCGCATCGGTCACCTCTCAAAAAGTAGTTCTGTTTGCCGCTGAACAGCGTCGACAGCAATACGGCACCGAGAAGCATTGCAACAGCACAGCACGGACAAAGATCAGCCCTTCCTCTTACGAGCTTGCGTTTCAGCGTAGCGCAAGCGTCCAGAATTCTGCGAGCTCGAGAAGGCCGCAGCATGCCAACCCGATGAAACCAGCCGATAGCAGTCTCACAACTCTCAGCTCCCCTTTTTTTCGAATTTCCGTGTTTGCAGGTCTGCCTCAACGTCATGTGGCGCACTCACGCACCAGATTTTTGAGTTTCCGATGCTTGCTGTACGTGCAGCACAACCACATGACCGCGACCCACAGGAGGCAGAAGGCGTTTCCTACTCTCAGTTGTGTCGTCGAGGCAATTTCAAGGAATAACGTGCTAGTTTCAGTCGCTGGTCTCGCAGCCACACTGCTCTCGCAGCGAACCACAGGAATGTTGAATTCAAGGTGTGGCTTGTATGGCATTCGGCTATTCAAGCGTCACGTCACTACGCTCATCTAAAGTACATATTTTTTGCCCTTTCGTAGCAAGATAGCGCCTACGCGCCGTACGTGGTAACTCATCTGAACAGTCTAAAGAGTCCCCGGAAACACGAAGAAAAACTATAAGGGACACGAAAGGATTTCGTCCGAGTTTGCTACGGCTGAGGGCAGCGAAGCTACAACTACCGGAGAAGGATGAGGAAGTAGCTAGCCCACAATGAAAAATAGTATACGCTGATTAGGGATGCTAAAGAACGAAAGCCAGTAAGCCAAAAGTCCACATAAAAAGGTGCAGGTCTCAGTGCGAGAGACAGCCTTGCATGCGGCGACGCCCTGGGGAGGCTGGTAGCACGCGCGAAGAGTAGATTAAGGCGTAGTTAAAAGCGAGATTTAGCTCATTTTCAGAAGTTCCGAACAGAAGCGCCACCTCACTAGAAATTAATTGCATCGACACCTTTTCTGATGGTGCAGAAGCCAGCTATACTGCTACAGTGATACGATTCAAGACGTACTAGATTTAACGAATTTGTAAAAACTTCGGTCTACATACGCTAAAGCTTGAATTGCCGCCATGTGGAAATCGGAATTGAATGGCCCGTGCTTAGGCGAAGGTAGATGTGCCTGTAAGACTGCTACCTTACTGATTTTTATACTTTAAAAAAGCAGGGGAGTTTCGGAGAATTTCTTAAATACAGTATCCATGCATGCGGGACTTCATCCTGGGGGGCCCCAGTGACGAAAGCCCCGTTAAAGCTAGAGTGGTGCGAGTTTGTCTTATCTTAATTCGGTTCAGATTACAACTTGAAAATGAAATTTGAGGAAATTCAAAGCTAAATTTGTTTCGTAGAGGTATGTCTTACGTATTGCTAATTGTGCACGTAACTGCAGTGGGCTTGGGATTTGAGCTTGAAGTTTCATTTCGATGGTGTCTTCTTTCTAGTCAGCAGTTGATTCGGCCGGTCAAATTTTGTTGATTGAATGACAATCAAACAAAAAAATTCAAGTGTACCTAATACAAGCCATCAGTTACCATGCGGCCGTCTGGGGACACTGGCTTCATCCCACGGTAAGTGTCTCAAGTTTACTTTGAAGAAAATACATCCGCTGAAGTTGGCCATTGCTGGCAGACCCCAGAGTTCAGGCGGAAATAGCTGGATTTCTTTTTTACCTGCTTTGAGGTGAATTTGTGGCTGGTTTTCGAGCTGCATGTATACTGCAGATTTGAGTGGATGCAGAACGCGGAGAAGGTCTTCATTTCATTTTTTGTGAAGTCTCTTCAGCCTGAAGACATCAACATCTCCACATCTTCGCAAAGTATCACCGTGGAGATTAGAAATCCAAGCTCAAGCGAAGAAGCAACAGATCAAAACAAAAAATACATATTTCATATTCAAAAGCTCAGGCACGAAATCATTCCAGAGCAAAGCTCTCATGAAATATACAAAGTGAGTCAGTTTGGTCTCGTGGTGTTACACCTAATTTTCCAGAAGTTGGGGGCACACACAGCGTAGGTTTCTGGGAAAATAAAACTGAGCATAAACTAAAACGCGGTATATTGGCATCAACGAACATTCGCGGCACTTGCCAGTCGCTCTTCTTTGCAGCACATTTTATTTTATCCCATTCCGCTAGCCTGAGCTCAAGTTAAACGTGCAGTTTCCTCTCAGACGAAACTCGAAGTTGTATTGGCAAAGAAGGAAGTGGGACAAGCATGGGCGGCCCTAGAAGCAGTCAAGGAGCACTGCCCACAGCAGCCGCAGTTGCAGCAGGAGCAGCAGCAGCAGATGCCGCAGCCAGAAGCTCCAGTGACGCGGGTATATCCTTCCTCGAAGAAGAAGGTAGACTGGGACAAAGTTGAGAAGGTATACTGCCTATGCACTTTTTAAAGAGTATTCGCGTTTTTATAGAAATGCGTCACTGTTTTCTTGCCACATTTTAGTTACTTTCCGACTCCATCATTCTTGAGCACTATGCATTTCTCCATCGTTTCCAGCATGTGCTGCTACATATTTGCTGATAATTTCATGCTGAGCACCACTGGCATACGAGCAACTGCACAAAGAGAGTATCTCATCCCATGGCAGTAGAAATCGCCGTAAATCGCTTCACATTGCACAGTGGTTGGATTTTCACTGCATTAGTCTACAATTTTTTTCTTAGTTGGCTACTTGTGCCTTCAGGAAATAACAGCGGAACTAGAGGCCGAACAGCTAGAGGGGGAACAAGCTCTGCAGAAATTGTTTAGAGACATATACGGCAGAGGAGACGAAGATACCCGGAGAGCTATGATCAAGTCGTTTGTGAGTAGAGCAACCCAATAATCAGATTAGCCAAGCAACCAGCCATGAGCTAAATGATTAGCCTTGCTGTTGAACTGGCACCCAGCAAAAAAATGGATTTGCGTTGCCTGGCTCGTCGTAGTTTCCCTTTTGTTTGAACACCGTAAAATGAAGCGCACAAACCAGAGCGGCTGAAGATGGTGAGTCACTAAACTCTCGTAGCTAGGTTGCTAATTGATTATCGAGACGTTCGATTACTTCGGTCCGCCTCTCTTTGTTTTTGTTGCCTGCAGCAAACATCAGGGGGCACTGTTCTGTCAACAAATTGGGCAGATGTGAAAGATAAAGATTACGAGAAGGTGATTTTCTACTAGCTACATGAAACACCTATTTGCTTAGTTAAACACCAATACGCTTGTGCCTAGTTTCCTTCGTGTCCAGCACATTATTTGTTTACGCGTCTTTCCGATGTAGTTTGTTGGTACCTTTGCTCCTTTGTTCGATTTTGTCCCTCTTTTTGCCTTTTGTTCTTTTTTTTGCACTTTCATGCGCTCTTCAGACTCTTGAGGCTCCTGAAGGACAGGAAGTTCGCTCGTGGAAGGAAACGTAAAAAGCAATATAGATGAATCGTTGCAGAATAAGCTATGTGAGCCACGCATTGTTTGCATTCCGAATCGAATGCACTTTCGGAGGGAAACGCAATTATTTGAGCTTGTCGCGTGTGCTTCGGCATTCACTATTCCGGTGTTCCTTTTCTTGTTCTCTCCTCAAGTTCCCTTTTTGTTTATCGATTGCTAGTCCCTCTTCCTTCAGTTGTTTCGCTCCTGCTGTTTCTCCGTGTTGGCCAGTACCTATTTAGTTTGCCTCGCGATGGTTCACTGCCTTTTCCGTCCGCCGAAAATGCAGACGAAAAAAGCGCTCTCTGAGTCCACATCCCGAACATAAATTTTCGTCCCTTCGTTTATCACATTTGGCGTTTTCTGTTGCTTTTGTTTAGCAACTTTTCTTTTTCGTTTGTGCTGGCCTCTCCCCCTTTCCCTTTGACCAGGCCTGTTGAGCTTGTTCTTCTTTGTCTTTCCATTTCTCACCGTACCGCATCGGGCGTGAAGATAGTAGTGCTTTCACGACTTAGCGCTAAAAATGAACATCGCCCAGTTCCGTAGTTGTAGCGTGGACCGCGATGAACTGCTGTAGTATTCGTTTTTTCGTGCGCATAACTTCGCTACGACTTCTGGAGAAAAAATATGAATTAGATATGTACAAGTACGGAAGTGGATGCAAATTCAGCGGGTGCTGCGTCACGAGACGAATCTACATACTGCGTTAGGCTCCAGTGCGGAAAAACGGGAAGTAAACAGATCCCGTAAAACTCGATTTCTGTGCAAGCAAGCGATGCAATGTGGGCACTTCCACTAAGTAAATAGGCCAATGATACTAAAGGAGAAGATAGTAGACGGGGCACACTTCAGCTGCTTTTGTGTCTCTCCATCAGCTTTCTTCTTTGGCCTGTGCATCTGTACAGGTGAGGCCCTGCACCCGCGCCGGTTGAACTCTAATTACGAATTATTTTTGAAAATACGTAGCCAGCGAACGGTGAACCCAACAAAGCTGTGACGTCGTGCTCGTGCTGGTTTAACTAAGTGGTTATGCCACACAGTTTTCATTTGGGCCTAAAGGCAGGTCGCCAAGTAGAATTGAAGATAGGGGTTTAACCCATATAAAGACGATGGCATTTTAGGGCTTGGCGCCCCCTGATATTGGTGCTCATCCATGTGTGCCTGCTTGAGGTACCGCAGAAGAAAAATTTCAAATTCTTGGAATATGTCGACAGGATGCAGTCATGAATGCACGGTAGCACCTGAGTCGCCCAACTACAGACGAAGTATTAACCGATGAAGAGAAGCAACGTATGGGCAACATTATCATCTCGATCAATCGCATGGAAACGTGCAAATGATGGAGGACACTTAGCCGAAGCTTTTAAGCCTGCTTCACACAAATCCCGGCACCGTTATCAAAACCGAAAGGGACACCGTTATCAAAACCGAAAGGGAATCGCTCGAGTTTTCTGCACTTACTGGCTTACCTGCCACCGTGTGCCCGTGTTAGTCCCGAACACCTTGACATACTCTAGAGTTTAGTTTTACAAAGACATTGCGTCATCCAGATTCGCTTCGTTTCTCCATGGCCGTGGCTACAGATCTGCACTTGTTTGTGCTGCTTTCTTAGAAGAAGCCTCCGTGTACAAAAGACTCAAGGCCTTTAAAATGAAAAGGAAGGCAAATTGGCCAGTAAACATGTGGCTAGGAGAACCAAATGAAAATAGAGGGAGCAAAGAAGGAAAACAGAAACACAAATTTCGAAATACATACAACTGCTTGCAGAGTACTGGCTCAGCATGATCGGCCACACCTCACAACGATTCCTACGATCGTCACAAGTATTGCCTAAAGGCAAAAATATCCATAATAATATCCATAATAATATGAAGGAGACTACAGAACTTACCTGCAAAGAAACTAAAAGCACAGGAGAACTTACTAGAACACAATAGGACTCAGCGTCGGCAGCTTCGGGGCTGGCTTCAACTGGTTTTTCTTCTGCAGCACACAGCTGGTACCTTTTGGTTTGAGGAAACAATACCTAATTTAGAGATTTAGGCCTTATAAGCTTGTGACCACAGTAATTAATACGAAATTGACAAGGGAAAGGACCAAATACTGCGTGGTAAGCACTGGAACAAGGCGTCGTCTGAGGTACGAGTGGAGTGAAAAAAAGCTCTTTTCTTCGCCGTTTCAACTTTTATTCAGTCTGAAAACAGCGGCTTTGTTTCCCACCGGCTTCAAGTATGGGCTCGGAGTTGCAGGTTCAGAATCTTCGTGCCTCTACATTGCCATAGAGTTCTTCCCAGTACAACTGAACAAGAAAGCTTGATAAGATATCTTTTACTTGAGCTTTCCGCAAGCCAACAGCTTTGTAGAATACAAACGTTGGCTTCAAGGGGATCTAATGATTTTGTGGTCTTACGTAGCAGCATATTAGCTTTTCGTGGTTCAGGCGTTTTGCTCTGTTAGGCAACGCTCGGTGGCTCGTCGTCGGTTTTATTGGGTTTTTGATTGTGTTCATTAAATTCTGCTACACGTGCCCTTCCATTTATCCACACGTGGCGTGTCTGTTTCTTTCATCTATGTTTGGTGTAGACGAATTCACTTTCGCGTTATGTGTTAGCTTCAGGCAATGGCGCACATGGGCCTTTTGTTCAAGTCGGGTTGGTTTTCAAAGACATTTTGGGGCAGCGTTGTGGGGATTGTGGCTCTTGACAAATATGCGCGATGGTGAGCCAAACGTAAATGCCGATAAACACGAACAAAACAGTGATCGGCAATAAGAAAAGCTGTAAATGCAACTGGGAAGCGCACTTCAATAGTTTAAGTCAAGTATTCATACAGTCCCCTTAGTCTGCCTTTGTCTAGTTCCTGCGAATCGCTTGTTCTTTTCTTCTGTGCCTCTTCGGCCACATTTGTAGCTGACGTTGTGGTTAGCTTCTTTCGGGTGTTCTTGTTCTGTTATTTTTCTTTTGCTTGACTATCCGTTTTCCTCTTTTCGCCGATATTTTCATCACGCGGACGAAACTGTAACCTACGGCGAAGCTAAGTTGATCTCATCAAAGTAGGAAAGTGTATGTATCGTATCGTTCATCACTTCTCTTGCCGAAGCTGTAAGCGTATGGTGTGTAGAAGTGTACTTCGCTCCCCAGGTCATATTCCATCCCAGATTACCACAACTACAATACGACATGCTGGCCGTACGCCCTTGAGCGCGCAAACCTTCGGCGGTAAGCAACGCAGTTCCGTTCCCCTCTTTCATCTGTTTCATTGGATGTTCCACGCATCGACTCCGCACATGGGCGTTCGCTGCCTCACCGATGCTTGTTAGCGAATCTATGTTCTCGTTAAAATTCCAGGCACGGCATTGACCCCGATACTGTCGATTTGACAGGCGATAGCTCGTAAAACGGCCAGCCTCGATGTGGAAGGAAAGCAACAGCAGGGGTGGGGGGGGGGCAAGCACTTTAGGCAAAATGCATGGAGCGCCGGCTTCACTTGCTTCGGCCCATTCGGTCAACGTACCTTTTTTACTAACTCCAGAAATGAAAAGATTCTGCAATATTTACTTGCACCCACTGGCCAGGTGGAGCGTACGTAGCTGTTCACCTGAGCCAGCTGAAGGTCTGCCGGGGCAGCGGTCCTATCTCAGTGATAGCCACTACACCACTGCCTCGTGGGGCTTTCCTGTAGTAGCGTGCTGAAGATCATTGCATAGCGCCTGTTTCATTTCATATTCTAAACTTGGGAACTGATGCCCAGTGAGTGAACCTAATGAACCTAATTCGATTACAACACTATCAGAAACTACGTGGGCTCCTAATAATCCCCTACTAATCGCATTAAAGTGCGTACCTCACCGTGAGACACGTAGGACTTATATACTGCGAAAATATATTTTCGGAGTGCTGAAAGTTCGACAACAATGCCGGTGCCCTTTCTCCAAGTTAACTGCTAGCAGTAGCCCCTGGGAAAGCCGCAAATGCTTCGCTAGGATCAACCTGGCATCCGCCTCGCGGTCATCGGCTCGCGGTCAGCCCCGCATCAGCGAGCCGGGTGTCAACTGACAGCAATAAATGTTACACATTGCTGCGACAAAACCGGTAGCCCAAGATGAGGAATACAGAAGCTCTTATTGAGGAACAGAGCTCAATATACAGCACCCGTTGGTCTCGAATATTGTCTAATCAACCTGATCTCAAAGCGATGAAGGCGCATTAACTAGCTCGTTGACAAAGGAGAAAGAGATACACGCTAACCTAGCTCGTACAGAGCGGAAGGGTCGCAGCACTGCTACTAGTGGCACGCATTCCCAATGGCTAAAACACCTAGACATTTTGGTGCCCATAGAACTAAACAATCAGCCACAAAGCGAAAAATGAACATGAATGAAGAGCATGTAGGTTTCAGATGGTGATGCATGTAATCCTGAAATCGTCATCGTAAGTCAGACGACAGGGTGGAATCAGATCATCATCAGCGGGCCAAAAGGAACTCAATGAAAAAAACTCAGCACCAGTCAGTCAGTTTATAAGCATTTGATAATTCCAGCGGATAATTCCTGTTGAGCCAGAGGATATATTAACTGAAAAGCATAGATATTTCCACGGGGACTCTTGAGGACAAGTCCATATTCAATGAAATAACGGGCGTACCACTATGCCGTCAAATCGAAGCATTGACATGCGTTTCTGGGCACTGGTGTATCAGACAATACGCCAGCGCCCCAAAAAGCAACATCTCAGTGCCGTAAAACCACCTGTTCATGCAGTTAGGCAACTGATGCTTCCATGGTTTTTCTCAGGATCAGCCCCGCATCGGCGGGTCAGGTTTCACCTGACAACAACACAGGTCACGCATTGCTGTCACAAAACCAGTAACCCAAGACCAGGAATATGGAAGCCTGCATTGAGGAGCGAAGCTCAACTCAATCCACTCGATCTATGGCGCTGCTGTTTTCAAACATACTAACCAAACACACCTCAGAGAGATGAGTTAAGGAGCTTGTAGACAGCAGAAGGGTCGCAGCAACGCTACAAATAGCGCGCATTTAAACCCAGCGCCCAAAATGTTTAGACAACAAGCGGCTATCGAAACCATCGTGCATCGTTGAACATAAATCAAGAATCGCTACACTATCGGCAGGGTACGCGCAAAAATACAGCTCAAGGCAAAAAATCAGACAGAAGCCACAGGTAATCGAACGCATAGATTCGACACCAAAAGCACAATTCACTGACATTATCAATACAAAGGGACACTCAAGAAATAAACAAGCACCCCAAAAAGCAACAACTCAGTGCCGTAAAACCACCTCTTCACGCAGTTAGGCAATTG